TCGGATTCTGTTAGGAGTCCTACGGATCGAATAGGATTTGTAGGATTCCTATGGGATTCCTTTAGGATTCTTAGGATGTCTGTAGGATTCCTTTGGGAGTCGTGCAGGATTCATAGGATTCCTTTAGGCTTCCCATCGGATTCCTGCAGGACTCATATAGGATTCATAAGATTCCCACCGGATTCTTACAGGATTCGTATAGGGTTCCTATAGGATTCTTATGGGACTCGTGCAGGATCCATTGGATTCCTATGAGGTTCCCATAGGATTTATAGAATTCCTATAGAATTCCTATAGGATTCCTATGGGATTCGTATAGGATTCATAGGAGCCCTACAGGGTTCCTACACGATTCCTAGAGGATTCATATAGGACCTATAGATTCCTATAGGATTCGTATAGGAGTCATCGGATTCCTATAGGATTCCCATCGGATTCGCATCGGATTCGCAAAGGATTATAGAATTCCCATGGGATCCCCATAGGGTTCGTATAGGATTCATAGGATCCTTACAGGAATCCCATAGGATTGCTACAGGATTCATATAGGATTCATAGAACCTCCGATGGGATTCCTCAGGCTTCGTATAGGATTCATAGGATTCCTATGGGATTCTTATAGGAATCCTATCGGATTCTTATGATATTCCTTCCTATAGGAAGGACGCGGCCGAAGAGCCCATCTTTGAGATCATGGCTTCCAGAACCTCGCTGGTGCAGACATTGCAACATGGCCTGAAGGATGGATCCACCTCTGATAGAGGTGGAGTCTCTTGTTTTTTTAATTCAACCCGGACCGTTGTTGTGTTGTGTTGTTCCGGGGGGGGGGGTCCCCGGACGCTCCGGGGCCTGGGAAGGGTCCCTGCCCCCCAAAGGAGGAGAGCGCTGGAGGAGCCCGAGGGCCGGAGCCCAGGGAAGGTCCCTGTCCTTGTTGTTGTTGTTGTTGTTGTTGTTGTTGTTGTTGTTGTTGTTGTTGTTGTTGTTGTTGTCCTTGTTGTTGTTGTTGCTGTTGTCGTAGTAGTAGTAGTAGTAGTAGTAGTAGTAGTTGTTGTTGTTGTTGTTGTTGTTGTTGTTGTTGTTGTTGTTGTTGTTGTTGTTGTTGTTGTTGTTGTTATTGTTGTTGTTGTTGTTGCTGCTGCTGTTGTTGTTGTTGTTGCTGTTTGTAGTAGTAGTAGTAGTAGTAGTTGCTGCTGCTGCTGCTGCTGTTGTTGTTGTTGTTGTTGTTGTTGTTATTGTTGTTGTTGTTGTTGTTGTTGTTGTTGTTGTTGTTGTTGTTCGCTCGACTTCTTTGCGGCTGCTGTTGGCGTGCTGCTCTCTTTGTGTATGGGGTGCTCCTGAGCCTGTCACGCTTTGTGCCCCATGGCTGCGCCTTCGGAGAGTGCATGCAGCACACGTTTTCGGTGCTTTGATACCCTCCGCAGGCCTCGGGGCGTCGCCATCCGCCGAACCCAGGGGCCGAGCCCTCGCGCTCGGCGGGGGGCCCGCCCCGGCAGCCGGCCGGGCCCCCCCCCCCGAGCTGGGCTGCCCGGGGAGGTCCAGGAGTGGGGTGCTCGACTACACGTAAGAGTGCCCCTTCGCCGGAGTGACCTTTGGTGCGCGCACACTGGGGTCCCCCGTAGCGTCTTGCGCGCTTGTGTTTGGCCTCCTCGCGCCCCCCAAAAAGCCGCGCACCAAAGGCCACTCTTGCCCAGGGTCACTCGTACGTGCAGCCGAGGTGCTGACCGGGGGGGGGGCGGGAAGTTTCGGGCTGGGGGCTCGAGGCATTTCGGCGTTTCCGTGGGCTCTCGTCGGCCTTCCGCCCTCGGGGTGCTTTCCAGCAGCGGCGCCACGCCGCCGAGAGCGTTCCAGGGGTGCCCCGGTCGTCCCCGGCGGCCGCCAGAGGGCCGAGCTATGTCCAGCCGGGGGGGATGAGTATCATGGCCAGGGCCACGGGGCCTCCCCAGATTCCATGCCCCCCTCTTGTTCTTCTTCTTCTTCTTCTTCTTCTTCTTCTTTTTCTTCCAGCATGTCGTAAATCGGGCGTGTCCCTCTGCAGGAGGAAAAATATTCAGCAGTAGTCAAATAATAGTCTGGAGGCGATTTTTTGATTATTGTTTGGCTACGTCGGGGCATTTTTTGTTTTTTTTTTTGTTTGTTTTTTTTGTTTTTTTATTATTCGTCCAAAATCCGCCTGTATGGGGACACGCCCGACCTAGGGCAAATCCCGTGGTCCCTCCTTCGTGCGCTCACGTGCCTCGGGCCATAATGTGCGAGCTCCCCCCCCCGCCCCCTCCTCTTGGCATCGCCTGGGCGTGTGCATTTTTTTCCTGGCGAGGACCTTCCAGGAGCATCCTCGACCATCGGGCCAACAAAAGCACGCACGAAATCAAAAACATGCACAGGGAATGGACGTCCGAGCGATGGCGAGACCTGGGTCCCCTTCTGGGGCGTCCGCGCGCAGGTGGTGAAGGAGGGGGATCTGTGTTACGGCGAGGTCATCAAGGCCATGTACGACGTACGGGAGAGCGGGTTCTGCTCTCCTGAGGAGGAGGGGGACGATTAGGAGGAGGAGGAGGAGGAGGAGGAGGAGGAGGAGGAGGAGGAGGAGGAGGAGGAGGAGGAGGAGGAGGCGTGGGGGTACACATCGCTGGCAAAAATGCTGCAGGCGAGACTGTGACAGCAAGAGCCCCCATGCATCCTGAGTTTGAGGACGACGCGAATAACCGCCTGGCCTTTTCGGTTAAGGTTTCGAAGGCGGTCGCACAAATAGCGGCTGCAGTTTTGTGCGAGTGGCCTAGGACAGAGTCGAGCCGAGTGGAACGCACACCCGAAGCAGCTCGTCCGCCTAAGCCGGCTGGGCCTGAGCAGGCGTGGACGTGGATGGTTAGGTTCTGGCAGTGCCCTCTGTGCCCGTGATGATCGAGGAGAGCCTTCAAGCCGACACAAGGAGTCTGCACACGTCGTCTCCGGGTTTGCCCCGCGTCCCCGCGAGTCCTGGGATCCCGCTGTCCGGCGGTAGATTTTTTCAGACAACGGTTTGGCCTGCGTGCGCCTCGAGAGGCACCCACATCGCACCGATGTCTGGACGGGGTTGGGCAAGGGGCTCCATCTTGACCATACGAGGACGGGAGTTACTGCCGATCTCGAGACTGTTTGCCTTGTGTAAGCGGGGTCCATGGCTGTGGATGTCTTGCTCCTCCTGCTTCTTCTCCTCCTCCTCCTCCTCCTCCTCATTCCCCTTCCTCGTCCTCCTCATCATTCCCCCTCCCCCTTCTCTTCATCCGTCTCCTCCTCCTCCTCCTCCTCATCATCGCTCGAGGGATGCTTGGTTGACGTCTGGGCTTAAGCGCCGGCGCGACGGCTTTATTGTTGAGTGGAATGTATTGCTCTACAGCAGTATTGCTGCCATGCTTTCTCTCTCAGCACCATCACCCCCCGCACTTCTAGTTGATAGCGGAGCTGGGAGCGATCCCAGTTCGCTATTCGCGGGAATCGCGGAGAGTGCGATGTGAACGCACGTTCGCACGTCCCTCACCCTCACCTTCCGCATTGGTACCACCCTTTGAACTTATGGCTGCCCCGCAACCCTCACGGGCATTCGCCCAACGCACCCACGGGCGGGACGAGGCCAACGCCTACGACTGCAAGCGACTCAATGAGTGCAGCGTCTCCTGGGGGACAGATGGCCCGGTGCAGGGATGAACCAACCCAAGGGAAACGATGCTTCGGCTCCCTCCTCACAACAACTTCCCGGCATTGACAGTGGGGCGCAGACTCCTGCGCTGTGCTGCGCTGCTGGGCCAGTGCTTGGGTTCGGATTGAGCGCGATGGTGCTGGGTTCACCTTAGGGAGCACTCTGCGCACTCCCAGTGGCTTCAAACCGCTTGACGTACCTGTTTCACCACCCTTGGGCATCATCAAGGGTTCCGGTACTATTACGACTGCTCCAAGTGTCGAGATGGCCCTCCGCCCCCGTGCAGGTCCGAGTCCGAAGGCGCCTGTGCGGCAACAGCGACGGACCTGTTCACAGGAGGATCTCCAAATTGGCGCTAGGGCGGGACTCCCATCCCCTTCGTGATCGCGGTGCCCTGGCTCTTCCGCATGATGCCTGGAGGAGCTAAGCAGCAAAGTGGAGGCGGCGGCAGAGGAGGCAACGTGCGTCAGCCACCTGCCCGGTCGCCCGAACGCGAGTCCATCTATTCGTTTCGCCCCTGGGTGCAGGGCTTGCTCTCGTTGAGCGTATTCGCCGCGGACATGGACAACGCTCAGCAGCGTGCAGCCATCATCCTGAATTTGGGTGGCGCTGCATGTGAACTCACACTTTCCATGGACTTCGCGGCGATGGCCGGCAGAAGCTTGGTTAACGGCCAACCCGAAGGTGGCGTCACCTACCTCACTTCCAACCTCGCGCGTCAGGTCGGACCACTTGGCGAAGAGTCACGTTTGCAAGCTACGCGGGAGCTTTTCGAGCTCTGGAGGCGGCGTCACGAAACCGCCGACGCGTTGCTTTCGCGTTTCCTCGCGCTGCGATCCCGAGCGATGCGCGACGTTGTAGCTGCGAGACCACGGCCAGAACACTCACAATGCTGCCCCAGCCTTGCGGCAACCAGTGCCCCGCAACGGAGCCCGAGTTCAGCGGCTTCTCATCGATGCTCAGGCGCGTAGGCCACATCTTGGGTCACGCACCCAACGACATCGCCAGCGTCCTCCGCGCGTCGAAGTCCTTCGGAGGCGTCGCATGCGTGGCCAGTGACAACAGTAAACAACGCATCGCGAGCGCAGCAGACCCTTGGGCTGCAAGCGCCGTCGAACTCCCAGGTGCTGGAGGTGCCTTCGCGCGCGCCAGCAGCTCTCCGACGAGCGCCGCGCCGCTGCGGGCCGCGCGCCCTGGCGCCGCGTGGCCGCGTGCTGATGTAACGCACGCCTGCCGCGCATGTGTGGGCGGCGCCAGTTCCGACACCAGTTCAGACCTTGGAGACGCCGTCGGCTGCGCGTCCGCCCATTTCAGAAGCTTCTCTTCAGCGCGGGTGGACGCCCAGATTTTCTTGCAAATCAGACATCTCAAGCGCCAGTGGCGACGCCATATGAATGTGCCCACCTGCAAAGTTACGGGACTTATCAAAAAAAGAACGGACGTTCGTTCCCGGGCAAGGGCATGGGCAAATGCACGGGGGCCCAGAAGCGCAGCTTCCCGGCCCGGCTGAGCGACGACCAGCCCGACGCCGTCTTCTACGGATGCAGCGGCAAAGGCGCATGTAAAGGGGGGCGGTCCAGCGGCAAAGGCAAGGGGCGCAAGGGGGGCCCTCGGGGCTGCGGCGGGGCTGCGATGACGCGCCGCATCTACGGTGAGGAGCGCCGCTTCAGAGCGGAATGTCGACGGGCCAGCTCCAGAAGTTCAGGTGCCCAAGGAGGTGGCCCGAACTTCGGGGACTGCGCCGATTCGGGGCCTGTCGGTGGCAGCCTGGATGCTGGGCCTCTGTCGGGCATGTCAGGAGTCGCTTTCGTGGTCTCCGCGTGTCCCCCGCCGCTGCTGCCGGGGCCGGGCCCGTCTCCAGTGCGGCCTGATTCCGAGGGCCGCCGCCGCCCGAGAATCGACCAGCCGATGTAGGAGCTACTGGCGTGATGGTGGATGGAGACACTATGTGGTATCTGCTTGGGCGAGTGCATCATATTTGATTCATGCGTCATCCATGAGCGTGCCCATCAATTCCATCCGAGCCGCGTCGGCGGCGCGTCGGCGCCAGGGCCGCCGCGAACCCCGACGACTCGCAGTTCGGGGCCGTCGAGGCCGAGCTGCGGGGCGACTTGGCGCGGGCGCCATTCTCTGTGCCCGACGTGCAGACAGCGACTGGTGGCGTGGGAGGTCGCGTGCGTCCGCGGTGCGTCTGCGCCGCGCCCGGCAGAACCTGCGGGCGAGGCGCCGGCGATGCCTCGGGGTGCTCGCGTGCAAGATGCCGCCTTTGGCGCGCCGGCGTCCGCGCGGGGGCAGCAGTCGCCGCGGGGTTCGCCGCGACATGGTGTTGCCGAGATGCAGATGTACCCGTGGTGGCCCGCCAGCGATCCCGCCATTCAGGTGCGTCGCAGTTGTTCGCAGCTAGTCGCAGGTGAGCTCGACGTGATCGTCGATCCAGGTGCATGGACCAACCGCGCGGGAGAGACGCTCGCGCGTCGGGCGCGCCGACCGCGGCGCTGGCCGAGGCAGCTCCACGTGGGCGAGCCCCAGAGCACCCAAGGTGTTGGCAACGGGGCGCAAAAGTGCCCCCGTCAGGGGAGCTCCCCGTGGCCCTCGCGCATCATCAGGGCCGCGCCGCGCTCCGCAGCTTCGCTGCGCGAGTCGTGCGATGTTCGGGCCGCGACCGACTTGGATTCCTAAGGCTGCGAAGTTCGGGGTCTATGCGCGCAGTCCTGGATATGGGCAACCGCGAGTTGCTTCTCCCAGGGGGCGGCGATGCGCAGATCCAGCGGCCGGCAGGCGCGCTCCGCGTCCCGCTTCAGGGGGAGCCGAGCGGTCATCTCGTCATTGTCGTCCACGTCTTCGAGAGAGCTGTGCAGGCATCCGTCGGAGCCACTGACCGCTGCGTGCAACTGGGCACTCGCGTCGTCGAGGCGGAGACGGAGACAGAGGGCGGGCGCGCCGTTGGCAGCTGCTGCCTCCCTAGCGGAGGCTGAGCAGCGGCCCGCCCTCGGCTCTCAATGAGCCGACGGCCCCTCGCGGGCCTCCCCCGCGCTCCTTGCCTGGGGGCCATCGTGCATGATGCCTGTTTACGTGGTTGAGCGCGTGCTCGAGATGGCGCGAGCATTTGAGCGGCGCAGTTGGATTATTTGTGCGATGCATCCCAACTCCTCTATTTCTGATCACTCCTAGGTATTTCTTCAGCGAAGGCGCCCGACGCAAATGTGGTCTTATCTGGACGGTGATATCGCCACCGCATATCTGTGCTGCAACGAGCACGGGCGCGCCCTGAACCTCACCCACGGCGTATGACAGACGTGTGTACGCAGCGGCGTGCCATGTGCAGCCGTGGAGTTCGCCGGCAGGTTTAATGCCACCATTGCCGCGGTCACGCCCCGAACAGTAGGCGCGGGGCTGGTCGCCGTCGGGCTCTTCCGGCTGGGGCTCGCGCCGAAGCCGCGTGATCCATCGCGGCCCGAGACGGCGTTCCAGATTGTGACGCCCATCAAACAGGGTCACTGCCTGGAGTGCGAGTGCCCCCCAGGCGCTGCGCATCGAGCTAGCTGGACTTCAGCGCCTGGTCCGGGCGCCGTCGTCGCGCCGCGCAGTGGTCGCGCCGTGAGAACAGCGCGCTCACATGTCAATCGAAATGAGACATATGTGCTGCAATAACTTTACGCAAGCCTGGTGCGTGGTTTTGGATTGGACGAAGCAGCGATGGTTGCTCAGGCTGACTCTACGATTGGCGTGCCCACTGGCAGCTCATCTGCCCTTCTCGCGAGTGCCCAGCAGACTTTACCCCCGACTGTTCGTTGGCCCGGCGATCCAGACTCGAATGGGAATAATCT